CAATCGTGTCACAGAAGGAGGAGTCGGAGAGAGTGCGGCGGAGCGAAATCGCCGCCCACGGGATGGGGTGAGGCGCCGCAGAAGAAGAGCGGCGCCTCATTTACTCGCGCATCAGCGTGGGGTTGAGGGGCGGCGCACTCGTGGGCGGGGAGAGGACGCCACCGCTGGCGTTCCCTCCCCGGGGTACCAGCGGGTGCGCCGCCGCCTCCTACAATGCCGCCGGGCCCTCCTTATCAACGGAGGGCCCGGCGCGGGGGAAATAGAAGGCGCCTGGTCGGGCGGAAAAGACGCGTCGCAAGGCGCGACCCCCCCCCCGTGACAAGAAGTCAGACCAGGCGCCTCCGGGAGGGGGGCAGGGCGGCCAGGACGCAAGGGCGGACTCTTAGGCCGCTCACCCCCCTCCCAGAGCCAAGCGGCTTCTGACCGAGAGAGGAGGAGGGGAACTTTTAGACCCTTCCGCTCCAGCAACCTTGATCGGGAGCCTAGGGGCAAACCAGGTCCGGACGGAACCGGACCTGGCCAATAGCGCCCCTACAGGTGAGGTGTGACCGGACGGGGGAGCCCACGTCCGATCATGAAGGATTGGAACAACGGGCCGGGAGAAAATTATCCCTCCTAGCCCGGGAAGGGGGCGGAATTTAGGTTTTTCCCCGCCCTGCAGCTGAGGGCGTCCCAGAAGTAATGCGCAAGCGGTTCCCGGAACCCCCTCGCAATGGCCTCAAGGGGCCCGGCAGAGGTTTTAGTGGGTAGGCCCCCCACCCGGCCGTTAGTTCCGGGGGGGGGAGAGTCCCACATTACCCTTGGGAAAGTCCCGTCTTTCCCGGGGGTGTGCGTAATGCATTTCCTCTGCCTTAAAAAAAAAAAGGTTTATTAAATACGTTTGAATTATAATTATTGTTTAAATTGATTTTTACTAAAACCATTGCAATTTGTATTTCGTTACGAACATTTCAAAATGTCCTAATATACAAAATAAACAGCTATTAATTCTATTACAACTTATTTGTCTCGCACAGCGTAGCATAGACACCTTCATGGTAATATTAATCGATGACTTTGACAGCTCAAGTTGAAATATGCAAATTTTTACTTGAATTATTTTTAATATGTCTGTAGTTTTTATATCTTTTATTTGTAAAAAAATATATTAATATGCAATACATAGAGAAGCGAGAACATATTGCAAATTTATATAACAATAATATCGTAAAATGAGCGCCCCATTAATAGGAGCACTTTTTGCATTTGTCATTTTTCAGTACCTGAGCGCGCGAAATCTCAGCCCTGCCATTCGTTAAATGTAATCGCTTCCTGTTTAAAAGCTATTATTTATAGCCTCGACATTTTTGTATTAGAATTTTCTTCTTAAAATATTGTAAGGAATCTACCATTAAGAGCAATTCCGGTGGTTTTAGGACATTCTGTATATATAATATATTAGGTGGTAAACTTAGTTCCTGCGGTTTTTTGTTTAAAAAACTCATTTATTTCGACATCAAAAGCAAAACATACATTAATCGAAGTATTTTCCTTCGCTAGCTATACATTTTTCCCATCTTTCGGGCAACGCGTAGATTCCGCGACGATAGAACGATTGGTCTTTTGATGCAATCCATTCGTCGATCCATTTTCGCACATCCTCGTAATTTCTGAAGTGTGTATCCACTAAGCCGTGCTGCATCGACCGGAAAAAGTAATAGTCCGAAGGAGCTAAGTCTGGTGAATACGCTGGGTGCGGGAGAACTTCCCACTCGAGCTGCATCAGTGTTTCTTTGACGG